CCCAAAGAAAAAAAAAATACCATAATGAAAAAACATTCACCATTGTTTCTTTTTGATGCCTTTAGTCCAATTGCAATTAACCATAAAAATGAAAAACATTCACCATGGCTTTTGTTTTTTATGGGATGGGATCTATTGCAAGCAAAAACTTGTCAATAAAGAACATGAAGTCGATTACAAGTTATAGAAGAATGATTGAATAGATATTTACCAATTGAGTGGTGGCTCGGTTGGTATGTAAATTGGGTAGTCCCATAATTGATGCGGTTTCGAGCCCTGTTATTGGCTCCTTCCACCATTTGGAGAAGAGTTATTAAATAGTTTTTGGAAAAAGTGGTGTTCTATGCCAAGGAAAAATGATTTACGGGCCCCTATGGGGATACAAGGCAAGCGTTTCAATATATATATATAAAAAAAAGAACAGATACTATCTATTTATCTAGTGTCTCTCAAATAGATATGCAAGCATTTTATTGAAAGCTAGAAAATACTAGTTCACAAACTTGGGATGCATTGAAATGCCCAAGGTAGGAACATGAATGTAGAAGCACCAAATTCAGTTGTAGTATAGGTCTTGAATCCTTAATGTAAGTGGGCTAGGTAATTTCTCTTTCTATTGTAACAATATAAGAAAGATAATATGTAGTGTGAAAGTTTTTTTGGACTAAAATTATCCTCCATTTATTTGTTTGAGAAACTGTATAAAAGCTATTTTATTATAGTTTCAATATTAGCTTTAATGGCTACTAAAATGCCCATATTTGTGTATTTAATCCATCACGGGCTGAAAATGTAACTTCAATTTTTATTTCCCACCTCATTTAATCTCCTCTAATTAAGTTTTATACTTAAGGTATTAAATCCCCTTTTCTCTTATTAAATCATATATTTTTTATGTTATTTTTCACTAATAAATGCTATGTCAATATTGTTCACTAATTCCATTTATTATTTTTTTTCACTAGTAAATGCTATGACAATGTTTTTTACGGTATAAATCCATATATTTTAAAATTGACTAAAAAACAAAACCATTTATTTATCCAAGTGGTGTGGTTAAGAAAGTCAATCATTCGAATCAAATTGATCAATCTACGAAGTCATATTTAGGTAATAAAAAATTTAAAATATAAATAAATATAAAAAATTACAAAAAAATGTAGAAAAATTAGACACATTTATGTAATCAAATTAAAAAAAAATAAGTGTAATAAACAACAATTATTTTATTGATAATGAAAATGAAATACATAATTTAGAACTGGCCAAAAATGAAATATAAAAATTAATAATAAATAGTTC